TGTTTAATTTCTGGAGAAGTCAATCAGTTTATGGTGTACCCAGCGTAGTGGTAAAGACTACACGCCTTTGGAGGGGGAGTTGCAAGTTTGATTCCTGCAGTTTGATTCCTGCCTGGGGATGTCTGCATCCAGTAAGACACCACAGACATGAGTGAAAGAGATAAATATGAAAGATATTGAAGAGGTAAAACACACATGCTATGGCAAGGGGGAGCCAGGATGACAGATATCATCACCCACTGATGAGAGAAAACTACAATTTTCAAAAGTTTTTTTTTAGGCCCAACTTCATAGATAGTATATAAGATACAAGAACTTCAAGCCAATGGGATCGCTTCACTCCTCCAGGATATACAGAGTGTTGTTTGGAGAAGTGTAGTGGTATGATAACGAAGAGTTACAAGTATCTGGGGATCACACAGACGAAAGCTGCAACCACTAAGTACCTGCAGAGGGTCATCAGGTATGCTGCTAGGATAATAAGCTGGCCAAAGGAGGAGAGTAGAAGCCAGTGAAATCATGACCCAGAAGGTCCTGACCATCCATGCATGGTATCACCCCAAGTTGAGCACAGTGGACGGTGTATATATCTCAGACAATTAAGAGTAAGGAAACAGGTCATTTGTTCCATGGGAGTAGCCTTGCAAGGTTAATTTGTTTTGACCACATGGTACCGCTTTCGATATTTTATACTTGACGTGAATTATCAGACACCTTCAGGGCTACAGGGTCCCAGAAACTGAAAAAATGTAGTTACATTTATTTAGCGAAATTGATTTCTGAGTAAAAGTTGAATTTATATAGCATTTTGTTCATTTTTAGGACTAACAATTTCATGTTTTAAATTATTCTGCATGCCTCATTTTGTACTATGGTGAATTGTCACTAGTTATCTTTAGCAATATGAGGATTTTCATTAGTGTGTGTACTCAAATTGCTTGGTTTCTTTTTTCATACTTTAACTAGGCAATACTCAGATTTGTTTTAATTGTATCTGTCCCAAATTACAGATCCTCCTAAATACTGAATGAATCTTTTATCATTAATTGTGAGATTCAAGATTATGTTCAAGATTAAGCATGCCCTCAGATTTAAACAAACAAACAAACAAACATGCTGAAAGTCAGTCCAAGGTAAAGTGTTTGATATGTGAAGCAAAAATTTCACAGCAGTTTAAACTTTGGACCATACTACCTTTAGACAAAACCGAGATGATGGAGGAGGAAATGTGAGGTGGAAATTCCTGTTTTCCTTTCAAGCAGCTCATACACCTTATGCACCTATTTTCTTTCAAAATAAAAGCATAAATTGGGCCTATTATTGGTTTCCAAACTGCACTTTAGTCTGTGGTTACAGCTCATAACCAGCCTGCTGACAATGCCGTACAAATATGAGCTGCATCTGAATGAATAGACTTCTTTTATGCTGCCAGCAAAAACATGTTATCATAACACAACCGGTTAAACTTTAACAGCCGATTCAGCGACTACCGACGCGATTACGTAACCGCTGACAGTTATAACTTACCATCTTCTCACGGAGAGCTCAGGCGTCAGCGACGTTTTATCGACTATTCAGAGGGACCGTTAAGAGCACATTGTGTTAAAAACGTCTGAATATCTATGTGAAAATATTTCAAAATCAAAT